GGGGGGGGGGTGTACAGGTGGAAGAGGTTAGTGGGGAGAAAAGGGAACATCTTTATTATCTTGAACAATAAAAAAACAATTTTTGTTTCAAAGTTATTACTGCTTTAGTAAAATTTTTAAACTAGAGTTCTAGGTTTGGTTTGTTGTTGTTTTTTTAATCTTCACCCGAGGACATCTTTTCCATTGCTTTTCAGAGAGAGAGAGAAACATTGATGTGAGAGAGACAACACATCGATTGGTTGCCTCCCTCACGTGCCCCAAGCGAGACCGGAGGTTGAGCCTACAACCGAGGTACATACCCTTGGCCAGAATCGAACCAGAGACCCTTCAGTCCGCATGCCAAAGCTCTAACCACCAGACCAAATCAGCTAGGGCAATTTCTTGCATATTTAACCTATTATGGAAAATAAAGCCAGTATACTTGAATTCTTTCTCTTCTAGAGCAGAAATTAACCCTGTTATCAAACTGAAATCCATTTGTCAGAGAGACTTGAGAGGAATTAGGACAAGATTGCCATGTACTGTCCGAAATGTCTCAAAAGCAGAGTGATGGTTCTGGGAGGGGCTTTGGGTTAAAAGTTCATAGCATTCTCAGCATCTGAAAGATACCTCTATTTCTTTTATGTTTTATACTCATTTCTACCAAATTGAAAAATACTTTGGGGAATTAACTGAATTTTTAAAATTTCAGAGAGATCAGATTAAAGTTGCAACTTAAAGCTCTCTGTTTATAGTAGCAAGCTTATAGAAAGCAGTGCATATCATCCATTGTTTTAGTTCTAATGTATGAAGTGAGTTATACATATAGGTTACTCTTTTCTCTTAATTTTGTATTTCATAATGCATGCTCATTGTTTAAAATGTTTTCAGACAATACAGAAAAAAGCAAAAGTAACAGTAGATAGGTAGGACAAGGGTCTGTGTACTTGTTTTTGTTTTTTTAAGTTTTTATTTGAAAATAATTTCAAATGTACAAAAACTTACAAATATAGAATAGTACAAAGAACACCCTTTTATCCCATTTCTCTGTTTGTGTGCTCATACTTTCCAGCACAAGCTGTCTCACAGTCTCTCACACACTCATACAGTACACACACGCACACTATTTCTTTCAAAATCATTTGAGAAGTTATATACATCATGGCTCTAAATATTATAGTGTGTATTTCCTAAAAATAGACATGGTCTTTTACATAACTATAGTATAATTATCAACTTCATAATTTTATATTAACACAATAGTTTTGTCAAATCTACCATCCATATTCCAATTATATCAGTTGATATAACATTTTTCTTCTATAAAAATTTTCCCCTCCATGCCCTGACTGAGTGGCTCAGTTGGTTGGAGCATCACCGCGTACACCAGAAGGTTTCAAGCTCAACCTGAGGTCAGGGCACATACCTAGGTTGCAGGTTCACTCCATGGTAAGTCTCGTACAGGAGGCAACTGATCTATGTTTCCCTCCCTGTCTCTCTGAAATCAATATCCATATCCTTGGGTGAGGATTAAGAAAAAATACCTTCCCCTCCAGTTCAGATTCCAGTCTAAGGTCAGGTTTTGTGTTTAGTAGTCAAATCTCTAGATTCCTTTAATGTGGAATATTTCCACAACCTTCTTTGTCTTTTATGACATTAATAATTTTTTTAATATATTTTTATTGATTTCAGAGAGAGAGAGGGAGAGAGAGAGAGGAACATCAATGATGAGAGAGTCATTGATCCATTGCCTCCTGCATGCCCCCTACTGGGGATCGAGCCTGCAACTCAGGCATGTGCCCTGACCGGGAAGTGAACCACGATCTCCTGGATCATAAGTTGATGCTCAACTGCTGAACAACGCCGGCCAGGCACATTAATTTTTAAAAAAAATACAATCTCTCCCTCTTTGTCTTCCTTCTTTTTGTTTAATTTTAGCTGAACATTTCTCATTATTTGTCTGATGTTTCCTCATGATTAGATTGAAGTTATGCATTCTTAGAATACTATAGTGGTGGTGTGTCCTTCTTAGGGTACCACAGTGACCTTTCATTTCTCATTGGTAATGTTCATTTTGCTCACTCAGTAAAGTTTTTTTTATTCTCCCTTATAATTAATAGGTAGTCTATGGAGAAACATTTTAAGAACATACAAATATCAGTATCAGAATTTCCCCCCCAGATTTAGCATTCATTGATGACTTTTGCCTGACCTAGTCTTTCCCATGATGGTTGCAAAATGATCACTTTCCAACCCTAGCACTCCCTCCACACTTAACAGTTGGCCCTCAGCATTCTAATCTAAGCAAGAGCCCTCCTCTTCTCTCCATTTATATATTTATTTGGTTGATATTTATTTATTATTGGTATAGGCATATGAATTTTTTTCCCCAATGGTTTATAATGTATTACTGTACTTAAGTATTTTAGTACTTAAGTTGTCCTAGATTTGGCCAGTTTGGTGTCCCCTACATTGGCTTTTGTGTGGGACAAGGTTTTTAACATAATTTCTGACTAGTTTATGTTCATTTGTAAGCAGCATTTTTTTACTTTATTTCTTAAACCTAATTGAATGAAAAGGACAAGGCATTAAACAAAATTATGCTGGTAGATCAATGGACTTTGTTTAAATAATGAATTGCACAAAGCATGTAATACAAGCTCTCTCATAGTAGTCCATTTTAGGTCCATAGAATGAGGTCATTCTTTTTAATGTTCTTTGTGTCTTCTGGCTTTAGTGTCCCACTCTTTTGGCTCTTCAAAGGCCAGCTGATGTATGAGATCATTCCCTCAGAATGGGTTGGGGATTAGAGAAACAAAGTAATATTTCACCCTTTCTCCTGGGAGGACTGAATGTGGTGTTCAGTCATCTTGAGGGCTCTAGTAGCCATGTAGAATTCTGTATATAGGGTTAGAGAAATAATTATCATCTTGTGAACTTTTTATTGGAATGACCTCAGTAGAATTTGTCTTCATTAAGTCAGAAAAGGCAATAGTCTATAAAAACTCAGAATCACCTATTTCTTTTATAATGTAGAGATTATACTTTATCCATGTGATATTTTTAATTCCCTTAAAGCTTATTTCCCATATACTTTTCTTTCCATGTTCTCATTGTCCTCTGTGTTCTTCAAATAGCTCATTGATATTTTACCTAAATAAGATCTGTTTCTTGAAAATAATTCCACTTTTCTTTCCTAGCGCTACCTTGATGAAGCAGACAGAGATAAGGAGCGTTACATGAAGGAACTGGAGCAGTATCAGAAGACTGAGGCCTACAAGGTCTTCAATAGGAAAACCCAGGACCGTCAGAAAGGCAAATCTCAAAGGCAAGGTATCAGAACCAGAACCAAATGTATTTGCAGTTTATTATGTGTGATGAGTGTCACAAAGTCTACTATTAGAATGATAAATATAAAAGATGTCTTCCTATCATTTCTCTATTATACTGCATTCACTTACAAGCATCTATAAGCATCATCTTGAAATTTTATTAAAATCACATTGCTCTCATTTATAAATTCCAATTGATTTCTATATCCAGTATCAACAATTTGGCTTCTGCTCCAAGACCACTTTTAGTTGTCTGTACTTTTTTTCTAATTCCCAGTTTAGGCATTTCTCTGTTTCTAAACAAGCCTGTCTACTAAACCACACAACTGCCTTGCTTTAACACCTCTAAACTTTTTATGTGCCATTTCTCCCAGCCTCAAATAATCATCCTTTTCATGCATGCATGCATGTATACATACATTCAAAAAATATGTATTGAGCACCTCCTGTTACTTATCAGCCTCTCACCTAGCCTTTGAGAAAGCAATGGTGAACAAGATAGACAAGATCCTCGTCTTCATGGATCTTTTATTCTTCATTAAAATTGTTCCTCCCAGCTTTACAAGTGTTGCTTTAAGTACCCCTCCTTCAGGAAACTGCAAAGATGCCTCACTCACAACTAGTCTGTCGTTCCTTAGTCATTGCATCTTCTCACACTTGGGCATTTTGCTTACTAAACTGTAATGTTGTGCAAACAGCCTTTGGCATATGTTTTGTTTTCACCTTCCCACCATATTCTTCTCAATGGTAAGAACTTTGTTGCTGTTCAGACGGTGTTCCCTTTAAGTTTTGTTGACTAACTGATTAACAAAGCCATGAGAGAAAATATCATATGTTGTGATAGCCTACATATACTAGCAGTTTTTGTGGTTTGGCACGGTTGTTTCCTTGGGTCTACTTATTTCTCTGTTTTGTTTTCAACTTAATGTTCTCTTATTCTTCCATATTTTTTAGATGCAGCCAGACAGGCCACTCATGATCATGAGGTAATTAGCTTTCTTTCTATATATCACATATATGTGTTGTGTGTGTGTGTGTGCACTCTTGTACTTATTTAATTTATTTATAAAATGTTATTTGAAATTTTGAAATGCTATTGGGCTTTTTTTTTTTTTTAATTAATGGCAGAGTATTTCCTATTCCATAATTCAGATTGGGCGAGTTGCTTTAGCTCAGGGATTCATAGTATATGACAGACACTTACGTTGTGAGTGTGCTCTTGAACTATACAGCCCCTAACTCCAGTTTTTTCTTGTGGTCCAAAAATTGTATTGGGTTTAAATGCTGAAGATGGCTGGGATTTGGAGTGAGATATAGAAATGAAGAGTACCTGAAAGCTAAAATTGGACCGTAGTTTATCATCATCAGATACCTTACTCTGACTCTCAAAAACAAGTTGTTGTTATTTAGGGAATACAGCGTTTGGTTAAAATGAAATATTCAGCTACAGTGTCAACAGAGCACAAGTGACAATATTTGGTTCGTATGCCTCCTTTCCTCACTGGCACATATTTGTTTACTTGGCCTTTTCCCCTCCATTTGGTTCAACTTCCTCAGTAGGACTTAGGCCTACGTTCCTGTGTGTGAATATAGAATTTAGGCCTCTCTGTGTTGGCTGTGGTGCATAGAGAGTTTTAAATATATATATGTAGGCTACGGTTAATACAGCCATGTGCCACTTAACAGAGATATGTTCTGAGACGTGTCATTAGGTGATTGTCATTGCACAAACATCGTAAGAGTGCACTACACGCACATAGCCTGCCACACAGTTAGGCTCTATTTATACCTCCATTGTATGTGGTACATCATTCACCAAAACAGTGTTACATGGCACATGACTATATATGGCTATAAGAAAGTAAAATTTGTAATTACATGTCTTAAAAACTTTTACTTACAACTCACTGGCATCCAGGTGCCCTATCCTTCTCTGCCTCGTGCCTATGCTTTAAGTTCCCCTCCTTCAGGAAACACTGCATAGACGCCTCACCCACAACTAGTCTGTCGTTCCTTAGTCATTGTATCTTCTCACACTTGCGCATTTTGCTTGCTAAACTATAATGTTGTGCATTAGAGAAACAAGGTATTATTTCATCCTGTCTCTTGGGAGGACTAAATGATTTTTTTCATGACAATACTTTTTTTCCCTTGATCATTTTTTCCACATATATCCTCCATTATCCCATTCTGCCTCTCAAAATTCTAGTCATCAGATTCCATTTCCTCCTTCAAGCTTGTCCTGTTTCCTCCCACTTCTTTTAACCCTCACAGCTCTCTATATTTATCTTATGTGTGTAGCTGATCTAGCCTGGTGTTGAGGTTATTGAAGTGCTTCCATTATTCAGACTTTTGGATTGTAACTTCTTAAAGGCATGCATAGTCTAGTTTCCATCTTGTACCCAACCCCATATCACCTAGCATGACTCCCTTGCAGGTAGGAAGCCATTCATAAGGACTTATTTATTTATTTACTTATTTATTATTTACTTTAAATATTTTTATTGATTGAAGGGAGAGAGAGAGAGACACACACACATCACTGTAAGAGTGAAACATTAATCAGCTGCCTCCTTCATGCTCCCTACTGGAGATTGAGCCTGCAACCCAGGCATGTGCCCTGACTGGGACTCGAACCAGCAACCTTTCAGTGCATAGGATGGTGCCCAACCAACTGAGCCATACCAGCCAGGGCAAGGACTTATTTATTTTTATACAAACCCAATTTGTTGAAATAACAGTGGAAATTTATACAAAAAGAATTTTCTGATTTTTTTTTTTTTTTTTGAATCCTCCCCCGAGGACATGTTTATTTATTTTTAGAGAGAGAAACATCAATTAATTGCCTCCTGGATGTGCCCTGACTGGGGATCGAACCCACAACCTTTTGGTGGATGGGACAACACTCCAGCCAAGTCACCCAGCCAGAGCACTCATGTATTCTTTTACATGTATTTGGTTTTTTTACTAAATCAAGGAAATCATTTCATCAAAATACTCACTTATTTATCCTGGGGTTTTAGTTTTCACACTTAATTTGGTATTGGTGACCTTCAGAACATTAGGAAAACATTTAGATTCACAACTAAAAAATATTTATTATAAATAGATTTTATCATGAATTATAAAATGAGAAGCATAGTAAATATTAGCATTTTATTCTTCATATAAATCCAATGTAAATGTAGTTATATACAACATCTCTGTGCTCTAACTAGGATGAAATACTTTGAATTTTTTTTGCTTGAAAAACTGTATCTTTTACTTTTTTTATTTTTAAATTACAATTGATACACTACTATATTACCTTTAGGTGTGCCATCCCATGATTAGACATTTATATAACTTACAAAGTGATCACCCCAATAAATCTAGTACCCATCTGACACGATGCATAGTTATTACAATAATATTGACTATATTCCCTTGCTATACTTACATCCCTGTGACTGTCCTGTAACTACCAATTTGTACTTCTAAATCCCTTCACCTTTTTCACTCATCCCCACAACTCCCCTCCCATCTGGCAACCATCAAAATGTTCTCTGTACCTATGAGTCTGTTTCTGTTCAGCTTGCTCCTTTATTTTTGTCTTTATATTCCACATGTAAGTGAAATTGCCTGGCATTTGACTTTGTCTGACTTATTTCACTTAGTGTGTAATACCCTCTAGATCCCATCCACGTTGTTGCAGGTGGCAAGATTTCATCCTTTCTATATGGCTGAATCATGTTCCATTGTATATATGCACCACTTCTTTATCCACTCAGCTAATGATGGACACCCAGGCTGCTTCCATATCTTGGCTATTGTAAATAGTGCTACAATAAAGATATGTCTTTTCAATTTAATGTTTTGGATTTCTTTGGATAAATAACCAGAAGTGGAGTTACTTGGTCCTTTTTTGTCTTTGTTTTAAAGTCTATTTTGTCTGGTGTATCACTACCCCAGCTTGTTTAGTTTGCTTGTTTCCATTTTCTTTCTTTCTTTTTTAATGTTTTTATTGATTTCAGAGAGAAAGAGAGAGAAATCAATGATGAGAGAGAATCATTGATCAGCTACGTCCTGCACACGCCCTTGGGGATCAAGCCCGCAACCCAGGCATGTGCCCTGACTGGGAATCAAACCACAATCACCTAGATCAGAGGTCAATGCTCAACCTCTGAGCCATGCCAGCTGGGCTTGTTTCCATTTTCATGAAATACCTTTTTCCAACCCTTTACTTTCAGTCTTTGTGTCTTTTGATCTGGAGTGAGTCTCTTGTAGACAGCATATGTGAGGGTCTTGTTTTATTACCCATTCTGTCACCATATATCTTGTGATTGAAGCATTTAATCCATTTGCATTTAAAGTAATTATTGATAAATGTATGTTTGTTGCTGTTTTGTTATTCATAATTTTGATCTCTTTTTCTTCTTCTTACAGAAGACTCTTTAACAGTTCTCATAATACTGGTTTGGTGGTAATGAAGTCCTTTAGTTTTTCTTGTCTGGGAATCTCTTTATTTGCCTTCTAAATGATAGCTTTCCTGGGAAGAGTTACCTTGGTTGTAGGTTCTTGTTTTTAATCATTTTGAGTATTTTGTGCCAGTTAATGTATTCTTCATTTCTGATTGGTTTTTTGGTATGATTTCCATGTTCTTTTTTATGCTGTTGAAGTTTTCACTAAGTTTCTTGAGCATCCTTATAGCCATTGTTTTGAACTCTATATCTGGTGGTTTGCTTGCCTCTATTTCATTTAGTTCTTATGGAATTCTGTTGTTTTTTCATTTGGGACATGGTTCTTTATCTCCTCATTTTGGCTGCTTCCCTGTGTTTGTTTCTGTATATTAGATACAGCTGCTGCATCTCTCAGTCTTGGTAGAGTGGCCTTATGTAGTAGGTGTCCTATAGGGTTCAGCAGCACATTCTTCTCAGTCACCTGAGCTGGGCACTCCAGTTGCCTCTTCTCCCCCGTGTGGGCCCTGAGTATCCTCAGGTTGTAGTTGAGCCTTGATTGCCATTGGCACGTCACTGGGAGGGACTGACTCCCAGGCTAATGGGCTGCAAGGACCAGCTGCAACTACAGTGAAGGAGCTGCTGTGTAGGGGCCAACACCACAGAGCAGGATAGCTTCAGTGGGGCTTTGGTGCCCACTGAGTTTGCCCCTTGAGTGTGTAGCTCGGGAGGTATTTGGGTTATAATCTGCATGGCCTGAAGCTGTCTACCAGGTGTACTAGCCAAGGTCAGCCACTGCCTGTGTCCTGCCCAGGACCACCTGGCATGAGCTACAGAGCCCTCTGCAGATGGCTGCTACTTGTGCTGGACTTGAAGGTGCCTGGGAGAGGTCAGGCTGTGAACAAGGGCTGGCTGCTACTAGTGCCAGGCCTGGAGCCACTTAGCAAGAGGTAAGGGGTACACAGAAGCCAAATGCTGCTTGTTTGAGAGATTTTAGGAAAGTCCAAAACATGAGTGAAGAGAGGCCATTTGTATGAAAAAGTCACTAGAAACGGCTTGGGTGGGCCTGCAAGTTGTGTGGGGCAGGGTCTCAGAGAATCAGAGGGCAGGGCAAACAGTGTTATCCAGGTTAATCCAGGAGACTCAGATATGGTGCCAAACTACTGGCTCTGTAGGGACAGAGCTCAGCAAAGTAACAATGGCCTCTGCCAGCACTTCTGTCTTGGAGAATGCTGCCTATCCAACCTTCATTGTGAAGTCAGACAATTCATTTCCTCCCCATATGTCCTTGGTGCATTTCAAGCTGCTGCTCCGGCACTGGACTTCAGAGTGAGTGAGTCTGAGTAAATCAATGTATGGGCCCTTTAAAAAGAATGTCTGGGAGGATATTAAAGGTGACAGCAGACTGAGTAGAAGCTACACTAACACTCTCCTGGGACCAAACTGGAATTACAACTAAAATATAGAAAAACCACCCTGAATAATCAACTGCAACTGAAGACAAGCTGGAGAGCACACTCATAACCAAGGAGGAAAAGTGGAGACTGCAT